AAAAAAGACGACAAATGTGAATTTCAGTTCTCATAACAGGACAAAGATTCATACTTCATTTTTGCTGGCTGTAAAGCAGAAGAAGAGGGGCACCTTGATATTTGAAAAAATAAAATAAAATCCAAGAATGAAGTTTCTACATATAGCCAAATCCTATGACAGATGACTGCTCAATGACTACTACTTAAGTCAGACTTGCCAACTAATTTAATCACAGCAATTATCCACTCATTATTCTAGTTAGACTGCTTGACCTTATTTGCCTGATCCAAAAACTGATTACAGTTCCTGGGATTATCAAGTCTGCTGCAGTCCATGCTCCCTCCCCCATTCCAGAGGGTCTAGACTACCTAAGCACAGACTCATATTCTCGGAAAAGCCAAGGTCTTAAGGTAAGATGTCAGAATTTATAGACATGACTAAGTCTCTAAACCCCTACTGACCTCGTATTAGGTGCCAAGCCTCTTGGTGCCATTGAACACAGACAAGGGATTGCCATAATGCTCACATTCAGGAAGTGACCCTGAATTTTGTGCCATTGATCCTTGCTACCTAAATATAACAGAGTAATTCTATATTACTCCACTTTAACCAGCCACAGTTTGCTTTTAAATAATCATAAAAGCAAAAACTCACCCTTTTTTTTAATTTTCTCTTTCTTCTTTCTAAAAGGGTGGAAACATGTAGGTAAAATAACTTAAAGTCATTTTAGCACATTTAAACAACATCTACTTTAGGAAAAAGGTAAGATCTCAGTGGAAGAAAGGACTAACAGAACTGAACAAACCAGTAATACTGAGTGGAAGACTGCCTTGTAAGAAATTCTCTACACTCTATAGGGAACGTTTTACAAAGTATACAAGTTTGCAGTTGTCAAAATAATTTTTTTTTTTAAAAGATTGTTTTACCTGATGATCAAATTTGAACAAAACTAAGAATTTGTACAATTTTATCTTCAAAAGACGCATATTTTTGTAGCTTTGGAATTGTTTGACTCAGTTTTACTTACCTGTCATTCTCATGAGTGTCTTCCCGTGGAATTTGTAGAGGTAGAAATGATAATTCACATTCCTCTGGCCTAAAAAAGTATTGATATTTACTATAATGTAAACCAATATTCTGACTGCTAGACAGACTTTTATCCAAGTTAAGATGATTTTAAGGAGATGCTGAATATACAGAATTTAACTTGTAAGAGGGATATACATCACATCTGAGTTAAATCTGTCTGTAATTAAGAAGTCAAGATAGCTGAACGACTGTTGTCTATATTTTTACCACATTAATTATTGCATTTTCCTCAAGAAAATGAGAAATACTAGAAAAATAAAACAGCTCACAGCATACTTGAGATCTGCCAGTGTTTTGATAAAAGCAAAATCCTTCCGCTGATTGGAGGGCATCCAACGGTGTTTTTCAGCCAAAGCTAGAGTCCTTGCACCAAAACCAAACATAGCTGAGAACCCAAACCGCAAAAGCTTGCTTGGAGTACTGAAAGTGCAGACATCTACTGGTTGAATATGTCCTAAAGTTTCAAAGATAAAGATCAGAAGTTACAAATAACTTCTGTATTTCAAACGGAATACAACTTACCATTTCTTTTTCACCTCAGTTAGCTGCAGGAAAAAACTCCAGACTCCCCTCTTTAGGAAGTCAAGTTTTACTAATGGAAACCAGAATCAATCTAGATATAATTAAGACACTATAAAAGTAGTCATTTCAGAGAACAACATTCAGATGCCTCAAAATTTTAAAAAAGTCATGATGAAAATTCAGCTACTTCATCAGGCTGCAAAGGGTCTGACTCGTAATTATGATAAAATTTTCAAGAGTTAGGATCAAAGAAAATGTAATATTGCTACACAAATATTTGCAACCTTTTCAACAAATATTTGTAATGACTGAACATTGTACTAGAGGAGATATGGGAGCTCTTAAATATAGGTTTTAAATGTATTTATGTTTACAGTTATAGAATTTAGACGTCTAATTCTGTTCAAGATAGGGTATATAAATTTTTTCTGTAATAGAACCTGGGTGGTTTCCATTAGATTGAGTGTCTCTGATTAAAAAAGACAGGTTTAGATTTTGCCTGTAAAGGCTTGTGTACTACTGTCTAAGAAATAGAGCAAAGGCTCTTCCACTGCTGACTGCAAGGTCTAGAAAATAGATACTCAAGATGGACCTTCCCCATTATTTTTTATTTTTGCACTAGCAACCTAGTTTTTCCTTTTAGCATAATTATATTTTCACATTCAAAACCTGTTTATTGTGCATACCCAATGGCAAGTGATACAGTTTTTTCTACTAATAAAGCTTTCTTATGGAAACTGCTAGTATTTAAAAGAAATGCCCATGGAGATAAAAAAAGGAATGATACTTTCTCAGAAATATGACAATACTTTCCTGAAAAGTCCAATCCTAACCACTTCCTCAAGCTGAAAGTATTGTATATTTTCCCATTGTCTTCAGCAGGTACATTAAATTGAAATAATCAAGTGATTATGCAACCAATCATTGCATAACAACACACACAGAGTAACACTATTCACACAATGAAGTCTGGTAAAGGTTACTTTTTGCATTAAAAGAACATCAGTAATAGGGCATGAATGCCAAAATCGGACATTATTCCATGGTAGAATTTACTTACCAGAAGATGAGGTCCACAACCTTTGCTACTAAACTATACTCAAAGAATCGTAACCTTTCCAGTACACTATAAATCAGGATAGAATAATTTGGGTTTAGAAGTCTTACAGTATAGTTTACAGTGATATAGCATAATAGTATGCATTTATTAAACCACTGGTTATGGCAAACTTCTAAATGCTGTTTCATTATTTAAAGTCTTATAATGTATGTAAAAATATTTACCCATTACAATGTGCAACGTGGCAGTCACTGCATGCTTAATACCATAGAGAGTGTGGGCCAAAGTATTAGTAGTACCTGTAAAAGCGAACACAAACTATTGTAAAAATAAGAGAGATAAAGAATAGCAAGAAAAAATACATACAACATTTTTTGAATTAAGAAACTGAGACATTTACTGCATTTTCAAAAAAAGAAAGCCTCCCCACAAATTACTTAGGCTTGGTAACAGCAGAAATGCTGACTAGTACAAATTAAAACCATTAAAACTTCCACAGGCCTATAAAATCCTCTCTGCAAATTCATTCATAAGTGCCATAAAAACTAACGGGGAGGGGAGAAAAAAAAAAGCTTCGCAAAATTGCCTTTTTTTTTTTTAAACCATCTCCCTAAAAACCACTTCTTCTATACCTAAATGCTGTACTGAGGAACTGTACTAGAAGGCAGATTATCTAATAAGATATATTTGGAGAATATTTTTAAGTTGGAAAAATAATATGATACCCAGCCAGTGTAAAACTGTACGTTTCCCAGACAAAATTCTACTAGATCTAGTCTAACTACTGTGCCTCTTGCAGGATACATTTTGGATTCTTAGAAGCAATAGCAAATAAAATTAATTATTGCACATCAGCTTTACATACGAGAACACATTAATGACTGAAAAACAGAGAACATAGAATTTGACACATGTCTGAAATTGTTGACTTGCATTCAGTGCATTAAAACTGACCCATCTAACTTGTCTTTGTTATTGCGTGGACATTGGCAGACCTGTCGTACTATATAGAAGAGATTAATTTAATTTGAGACAAGGACATAAGTAGTAAATCAGCTGGTAAATAGAAAAAAAAACTCAAGAACTAGCAATGTGAGCATGGAGTTGGAACAGAAAGTGGAAAACTAGCTATCAGTTTGTAAAAGAAAGAAGCATGTTCTGGAGACCCATGTTTGGTGGTGATTGATATGTCAAGTCACTTTATCTGTGTAAGAAACATGGATATACATGTAAATTTTATCCTTCTGCTTTATTGTATAGGACATTGTGTATTTGCGTATCAGCTGACTTTTAAACAGCAATTTATTTTAAAAATCCTGAACAAGGAACGGTTGTGTCTTTCCTAAATGGATATTGTTTTAACAGATTTTCAAGCTGATTTTGCTCATTGATCACATCTTCTTAGCGAAGCAGCAGGGACATAGGATTCACTTCCGCAAAAATAAAGAACCACGGCCTGCCACCAAGCAGGCAGAATATTGAGCTTCTTCATATCACTGATTAAGGGATGAATAATTCAGTAACAGATTAATTAAAATAACAAAATTTACAAAAGAACAATTTAGAACCTAACATTCCATAAAGGAATGAGTTAGATTTTCAAATCATTTTCTTGTTGCTTGAATTATTTTATATGTTATAGCAGCAATAGACAATTCTGGATGCGAAATTTGCCTTAAGTTTTATGGAAGCATTTAAACTTGTCTTTCAACAGCGAGGGAGAGAAGAGAGGAAAGAAAAAGACTATCATAGAATCATAGAATCATGAAGGTTGGAAAAGACCTCTAAGATCATCGAGTCCAACCATCAACCCAACATCACCATGCCCATTAAACCATGTCCCTAAGCACCTCATCTACATGTCTCTTAAATACTTCCAGGGATGGTGACTCCACCACTTCCCTGGGCAGCCTGTTCCAAGGCCTGACCACTCTTTCAGTAAAGAAGTTTTTCCTAATGTCCAATCTAAACCTCCCTTGGCGCAACTTGAGGCCATTTCCTCTCGTCCTATCGCTCGTTACTTGGCAGAAGAGACCAACCCCCACCTCGCTACAACCTCCTTTCAGGTAGTTGTAGAGCGCGATGAGGTCTCCCCTCAGCCTCCTCTTCTCCAGGCTAAACAACCCCGGTTCCCTCAGCCGCTCCTCATAAGACTTGTGCTCCAGACCCTTCACCAGCTTCGTTGCCCTTCTCTGGACACGCTCCAGCACCTCAATGTCCTTCTTGTAGTGAGGGGCCCAAAACTGAACACAGGATTCAAGGTGCGGCCTCATCAGTGCCGAGTACAGGGGCACGATCACCTCCCTCCTCCTGCTGGCCACACTATTTCTGATACAGGCCAGGATGCCACTGGCCTTCTTGGCCACCTGGGCACACATCAACACATCACATTTCAAACAAGAGGCACTCAATATATAAATAAACACTTTAAAAGCATCATGTACCAGACTGAAAAATCATGTTCATCCCAAAACTCTGCAATCTTTGAAGTCACATTAGTGGTAGAACAAAAATACTAAATTCAGAAAGACTGATGTACATAGTTACAAAGCTCTAAAGGCATCTTGTCATTCTTATTCAGGAGTATATGTTTTGATTTTTTGCAATAATCTCTTAATAAGAATTTGTAAAATAACTGGGAATTGTATCTCAGTATCTCACCTGTTAGGTCCTTAGAGCACCTTAGTCTCTGAAAGTAATTCAGAATACTCAGAACCTCATGGAAAGCCTTCATAACGTCAGAGAGGGGAGTTTTGAGTGAGGCTTTCAGGGTTCCTACTATGTGAAGGAAATAAGTGAGGTACATCTATTAAGATAACAGAGACAAAACATTCTTTGAAGTTTACATCTCCAGTGGTACATGAAAGTAATCAGGTTATGTACAGTTTTATTCTTTGAACAATTAAAAAAAAAATGTAATTTCATTGACATATTTGTCAGAATTTTAGAGGTGACTATACTATCAATTTCTTTCTCCTTTTCCTAAAAAAAATAATGTTTAAATAAACCTAGCAAATTGGGATTATGAAGTACTTTGAAAGAAGAATAAACTGACAACTTCAAAAGCCAAATGGAAGTCTTCGCTTTTTTCACCCAAATGAAAGTCTCTGTAGGTACACTAACAGGAAGTCCAGTTTATTAAGAATATTACAATTTTAATAATTTATATCCAATAACATATCCAACAACTTAACTAAAAGTAATTTGAACTTTCCTTATTGTACAATACACATAAAAAAGAAAAGGCAAAAAGGTAGCTCTAGATACCATTTACTAGGCAAAATAGTGAGTTTTTCAATTCAGTGAAAATAAAATACAGTTCTATAAGGAAAATTCAGGGACAAAAAAATTAAGTTTGACCTAAAAAGCAATTCTTCACAGAATAATACAAGTATATGCCCAACGCTATTTCATGTTTGAATGACTTATGACATTTAACCTCTAGATTCAACTAATTCTGCTTAGCCAGTGAAGCTAGCTAAAGTAACAGCTCAAAAATACTCAAATATTTCCTTCAATAAAATTTTTCCAACTCTTATCAACTTTTGGGAACCTCTCCAAAACAAAGGAAATCACACACAGAGAGAGCAGATCATTACAAGTCATGCAAATCGTGTTTATTTCCTGTAAAGTGACAACAGGGAAGTTGTTATTCTGAAAAAATATTTTTCTTTGTCACTGAAGATTAAGCTAATAAAAGAGCACAAGGTGGAACATACTTCTGAAGATTAGGCTTGGTATGTCTTAAAACTGAGGTTCCTCTTTTAAGTAAGAGTAATTTATCAATACAGATGGCAGCGAGATAACAAATGACCACAGCTGAAGTCAATACCAATATTCATACTGACTTTAATGAGAGTTAAATCTCATTTTTTCTGAACAGGCCAGGCATAAGTAATTGCATCCTTCTCTTAAATCTGTGGAGCTCATTAACATTTGCAGAAGTAAACATCCTTTCATGACTCCTGGGAAAATAAAACAAGTTCTGCCTGTGTTCAAAAACATAAGTAATGCATCCACCCTTCCACAAGTTGAAGATCTAGAACATGTGCAGTTTTGCAGTAGCAAGTACCATCACCTTCTCTAAAAAACTCTGAATACATGCCTAACAGCATTTTTGTCCCAGTAATGACTGAATAATGTGTCTCATTACCTAGGTCCTGTACAAGCAGGATGCCACACACACAAAAAAAGCTTATCAATAGAACCAGAACAATGAAAGTTATCATGCAATAAATATTAGAATATAAGCTTTGCTGATTTAAGTGGTGACTCAATAATAGTGGTTTTAATGCCATTATTCATCCTCCCAAGTCATCTAAGCTTTTATCTCCCCTATGTAAGCTTGGAATATTATTTACCACTAACAAGATGATTCCCCTGAACACTATCATACTACTTCAGAGACGAATAACTTACTTTGATCCTCATCTATGAGCTTGTGCCCCTTACAGATTACTAACAGTCACATTTTTAGATCTCACTCCAGCTACTCAATTTACTGTAAAAAGGTTTCATCCGTACAACTCCAGCATCTCTGTCACCAACATTTTTTAAACAGAAAGAAGATTTTATCAGTCAAAAAATATAATTCTGTTCAAAATCTTAACCCATTTTCCTGACATTACAAACAACTTCCTACCACCTCCTTCGTATGAAATGTGCAAAAGCATTACAGTAAGGACAAAGTATCTGCAGGCCATGTAAAGCATGACTGATGAAGGTACCAAACAGAAATCGTAGAGGAAAAAATTGTCCTTGGAAGTGCAAGCACTTCTGCAGTACAATTAACTTAATTAACCAGACAACATGAATATTCATAAGGCTGTTAATGTCTCCCCCATCCAAACAGATAAATGTGATGTAATGACTTCCTAGTCAAGCATAGCTAAAATTCTGATGAAAACTGCACCAACATTTTGGTTCTTTGCCTGAAATATCACAGAAATTAACAGTCCCTCAGTAATATTTTATTTTTTGAATTAATTGAAAATCATGAATTTATTTAAATGAACCATTTAGGACCAAAAGGTTCCCAGTCATCAGATATAGATTGTCTCTTGTTCTGTAACAACTGGATAGCTTTTTTAATGTCCTTCCAGTTCCCCCTCCCCTTTCTCCCATTCCCCCTCCATACAGTTTCTTAGCAGTAGTTCCCATAGCAACAAACACTCTTGCTAATGACCAGCAGTACAACTGCAGGCTTCCCCACATCTCATCCATTTGATTTGGACCAGAATAAGGCAGCTCAGTAGAGTATTTTAGTAAAAACACACTCCCCTTTGGACCTTTCTCTTCAGGAGGTAAACTGTTTCAAGAGCAGCTTCTTCCCATCAAGTTGGCTGAAACTTCAAAATGCTGTCGTAACTATTTATAATAGAGGCTAAAACCAGATCTTAAGCCACTCAAATAATGCTATCCCATAATACAGTTTCTATTTCTACTCAGCTGGAGAATCCTAATAATTTGGTACAATGGATTTCTGGGGGGAAAAAAAAAAGAAAAAAAAAATTGACCATTGAGTTCCATCTTCTTCATGTACACAAGTATACTTATTCGTTTCCTAATTGACTAGTTTTTACAATATCAATAATATGGAAATAAAATAAGATACAGATTATTTTTAAGAACCTATTAAGGAGTTTCTCACACAATGATTCTATAAATTGTTCTCATCCTCTTTTAACAAAGTCTGTGGCATTCCGTGTAGCAAGCCATACAGCATTCTTTTGGGTTTACAAATCCCTTACAAATCCTTTTTGATCATGATGTATTTGTCTTAAACTGAAGAGAGTAAGCACTGATGATGAGGCACAGTGACCTAAGAACGCACAAACAGCATGGAGTCAAGTGCTGGAGAGATTCCGTCTCAACACCATCAAGATATTCATAGTAACTGAACTGATAAGTGATGGTCCAACTGCTGTACTAAAATTCATTTGCTTGGTGTCTTTGAGATTACTGTATCTTTTACCAATACATTTCCAAGGTTTTTTTAACTCGAAAAAAGCTAGTGTAATCTTGCATTTTTACAAGCAACTAGTCCCTGTCTTAATGCTGTTTTTAGAAGTGCCAAGCAAGTCAGAGCACTTAAAACCTGCTTGCTCAGTTCAGAAGCGACTTGCTCCCTTTTTGTAGAAAACTGAAAACAATTATTTGCTCTTCGCCTGGCTGAAGGAATTTTTTCCTTGCTAGTTAAAAACCTCTGACAAATTACATCAAGTAGTCACATCCACACCAGAAGGTAGCGTCCATGCAAAAGTACCCCTCCTCTTTTAAAGAAAAGTGATTCATATACCAGTCCAGAATCAACCCTGCCTGGTTGAGGGTACTAATTCTAGCTAAGCCTCCCTGCCTGGCCCGAGTTATACTCTGAGAAAGGCAAATACAAAAATTGGGAGGAGAAGTAACACAGACACACCCCAAAACAAACAAACAATTAAAAAAAAAAAACCTACACCACTAGATGCAACTACAAGTTAACAAACGAGCAAGAGGATTTTTCAAGAGAGATACATACATTTTCAGGTCTGTAGAAGTAAAGGAGAGAGAAAGCAGTTTTGTGTGCAAAGTTTTTTTTTTTTTTTTTATAATCCACAAAATGTATTCCTGGGACACCATTTAAAAATAGACCCTAAGCATGAATCCAACTGAGAATCTTGCCAAGAAAACTGCAGAGAGAAGTGAAACAGCATGGCTTGTATTAAGGAAATTCTAGAAAACAAAGTTTTCATTTGGTATCATTTCTGGCAGCAAATAAGGGCAAAATTTGATCTTTGCGTGGATCAGCTGAAAATTATTTTAGTTTTCTTCTTCCCGAGCTTCTTCCTTTAGGCAAAGAGCTCATCTGTGCCATTACTATAAATTATCATAATGATTTAAAATCTAGTCATTTGTAATCAATCTAAATCACTAATTTAGGACATTTATTCAATAGCTCCCTTAAGTAACTGAAGCTTTAGCACCAAGAACTGCCTTTAGTAGCCAAAACTGTAAAATATGCCAGAGGGACATAGAACAGTGACTTACAAAATGTAACAGTACCTTTTAGCCTCACCTGCTGGTATTACTCCAAGAGGAACCGGTGCTCTGACAGGCGTTGGTATATAATCTGTGTCTTTTCCAGCATCTATCTGGGCTTTAAGTAGTAGACCATGAGCAACTTCGCTGACAGATCCGTCTCCACCGACACAAACTACCCTATTACAAAACAAAAATGCTAAACAGTTCAAAATAAACTCTTCCATAGCTGAGCAAACAAGTGGAAGGCAGCTATCACACACCATCTACTTAATGATATTTCAAATAGCTAAAAAACATTCTTTCTTAAGAACACGCTAAAGCTTCACTGTCAGGTCAGTGAATGTTAACTAACAAGATATAAGCATCCTTATTTCTGCTTTCTTCTATCTGAGTAGAAGTAAATATATTTAACAACTTACAAAGTATTTCTTGCCTTATCACACGTTATGCATGTGCATCGATCAGATGGAAGAGTTAAGCATATGCTCAAGTGCCTCAGTGGAAAAGTTCTTTAAATCTTTCAATGCTGACCCACACAAGCATTCCAATGCTATTTAATTGACCTTATAATAACAACTCACCAAATATTACAATAAAATTAAAAATACTTGAAAACAGCTAATTCCACACACTATGCAGGCAGTTGAGGGATTTAGCAAGGTATAAAACCCTAGTGCCAGCAATCCTTTGCATGAAGGTATTTAATCACTGCTTCTGGAGCATGTAATTAAACTCCCACCTGCTGTGGCTATAGAGAGGAATGCATTTGTCTGTAAAAGCTCTGTTATAGCAAACATCTTTTTTTTTTTTGTCTTCCTGTTTTTGTTTATTTAAGTAACTATTAAAATGATTCTCCAAATTAGTAATGTTTGAAAGTTAAATGTTTTTAAGGTAAATACACTTTAATGATAAAAATAGTAATAGTACACTCCAAGCATTTACAATATAAATGTCAGGTTTACTTTAGGAGGCATTTACTTAAAATATCTTTTTTTCATATAGCTACAGGAATGCAGTTGTGAAACTATTTCTAATAATTCAACCAGATAAAACTGGTAAGGTTTTTATAAGAAAATACTCATTATGTTATTAAATATTTAAATTAAATTATCTCAGCTGCTTTAACATTTTTCTTCAGTTCCTATTATTATTTCCTAGCTATTTTTTAATTTCTAAATTTTTAGGTATGTTTCCTTTATCATGCCCACATGGGGGGGGGAGGAGGGCGGAGGGGAAGGAGGGAAGAGTATATAGAAAAAGTTTGGAGCACATTTTCTTCCTGCATGTAATCAGGAGTCATCTCCTGTCTTTTATCTCATTTTTGGTTTAGATTGGTTTATTCCTAGGCTTAAAAGTTTCTGCCACAGCAGCAAAAACAGTTAATCTTTGCAGTCTGATAAATTGTACACCTGGAAGGACTTATGTGGATTGTCTTCTGGCTATTAAAACTTTTGAAAACAGACACATTTTCTTCTGATTTGGGGGGGGCTGTGTTTGTTGTTATTGGAAATAGATGAAGAGTCCAAGGAATAACACAAAAATGCTCCTAACTTTAATTTTTATTAAGTTAGCACTAATCATCAAGAGTTGCCTTTTTGGCTGGAAATAGAGATACTCTCAGGGACCAGGGATTCCAAAGCTAATTAGCAAGAACCTGCTACGCATAAGGAGTAGAAAGTCTTGAGCAAACGGATTTGACTAAGACCTTGAAGGCAGTTTCTTAGAGGAAGAAACATCTGTCTAACCATCAGACACAAGTTTCTTAATCAACTATTCACTAAAGTCTGACTAACTGGGGCTACTCTAAATATCCATAATACCTTAGGCTCCTGATTAGGGAAGAAATACAGGCATGTGTATTGTGTATCTCTGTCACTGTACAAACAAGAAAATGCAGCTGAGATAAAAGCATCACAAATGCACTTTATTTGTCACCAAGGCGGGGGAAAAAAGCACACTGCCAAGTTGGCAAAGTACCTAAATTTCCAGTGTTGGTAAGAAAAAAACAGTGGGTAGCAAAAAAGCTGGAGTATATGAGATACGTGACATATGCCTATGACCTTGCAAAACAGAGTGGGAACTGGAGAAATCAGAGAAAAGAAATTATATATAGAAACAAACAGCTTTGACAAAGAACTAAAACATAGCAGTATCGCTTACAGAAAGCACAGAGATACAAACTTCCAATTTACTACTGCAAATCATATGTTTCAATTTACTTCATGTGCTGTTTAACCATAACTCTCTTAGAGAGAAATTCAAGATCAGAAATTGTATGTTGCTATACTGCTTACCTACTGTAATGAATAAAAAACTGCTGTGTCTTGCCCTCTATCCATTTTTACTTGAATTAGCTTTCAGTCAATCTGAAATAGGCAACACTTGAAAAGCATGAGCTAAGTTAGAGCAGCAGACTAATGCATGCAGGCATGGCCTTCAGTCCACAACCAACTCGCCTCCAGTCGCTTCTGAGCTTGGGCAAGGCAGATCAGGTCTACATGAACTCTGCCATATAGAAATAGCACAAAAATTACCTTACCTCTTTACCACCACATACAGTGCCTTCCACATCTAAAGGGAGGTACAGAAGTGCTGTTCTATTTTCTAAACAGGGAAGTAAGTGACAGATAAAGTATCTGACTTGAACAAAACGGGACAGGAAGCCAGGGCAAAACAGGAAAGAACTGAAGCCTGCCAAGTCACAAGCAATGCTGCTGAAGAGACAAGTAAAACTTCTCATGACTTAATGGAAATAGTGAAAAGACATTACGTCAGGTGGCTGCTAGAATTGCTAAAAGCATAATTTTTCATCAGTAGGAAAATTTCATTGTTGTGGAGTTAATTTTCAATTCAAACCAGATCCCACACATTTTCTGGTTAATTTTCAATAAATGAAAATTGTCATTAAAATTTTATTTTTCAAGACTGAGGTGGTTTTGGAGGCCTATAAGATTTTTATATCTATGGCAAAAATTCTTAGGCTAGACAGCAACAGGGAAGTCACAAAGGATTTCACAGGAACATAATCAAAAGTATGCCATAAGCCTTTGAACAATTTGAAAAAGAAAATCCCAATTTCAAATATTCTCTTCCTGTTCTTAAGAACAACCCTAAAGATAATGGAGAAGAGAGAGATTAGTGATGTTTTGTAGCTTTCTTTTTTAAAGTATCAGACCTCTAGTGTAATATGAATTCTGACTTCAGCCTATCAGTCTCTAGTTAGCTATTTAATAGGATATTTTTCTGTATTGTGCTTTATTGAATGAGTACATAGATGGAGGCCAGGCTATCTGAGAAGTTTTTTTTCAAACACTTCATTTTTGCTCATAAACTCTGATAATAAAAGCTACTTAATTTCCACATGAGAAAAAAACCCAACACATAAACAGCTAACTTAGAAAGGACAGGGATCTTTTCACCTCAGAAATTCTTGCATCATATTGACTTAAGGGTTATTTTATTCCAGCTTCTTCTGTTCCTCTTTCCCCTTAGTTCCGGCTACTGGAGAGAAGTCCTACAGGATAAGTACTCCAGTAACTCTACCCAATGACCAAAGAGGAAACAACTCAAATATGACTCAGAGTAGAAGGGGTTTGTGCAAGAAGATACAACCCAGGCTTTTTCTTCTCTGTCTTCATATCTGCTTCCAAGGACAAACTGGTTCCCCAGCTAGCACCCTAAAAGGCATGTCTTAATTGGAAAGAAATTATCCTCAGAATCTGGAATACATACATATACTTTCAGATATATTTTCTTACCTAACTGTGAGTTTCTAGAACTAATAGGAATTGATTAGACTATAAGACACTACTTAAGCCTTCTTGTATAGCTCACTGCATATTCCAATAAGAGTTGTGAGAATGGTGTAAGACTTCCACAGTATGCAAAACTATTCTTATATATTGTTGAATCTTGTTATTGAATGATTAATGTAAAAACACCAAAGATTTCAGGATTAATCCACATAGCAAGGTCTTTAAAAATAAATGAACACACATTTTCACTCTTGACTTCAAATAAGTTTGAATGATTTTTTTTTTTAATGGAAAAAACATTCCAGTTACTTCTAGATAAAGTGTTTTCCTTAAGAACCATTTGAATGGATAGAGTGAAATGCAAGGCACTTGTGTCATTCTTGCAAATACAGAGACTGAAGCTTTCACGAAGCATATTTAAGAAAGCTTTGTGTTTATTTACCATCATTTATGAATCTAAAATACATGCCTATTGTCAGTAAGTAATAAAAAACAAAGCATCTAATGAGAACTGATTTTCTCAGGCTTAATGTATATGTGAAACAGAGTAACTCATGAAATACCTATTAGCATAGGTTTGGATGGAATACAAATAAAAACTAATGTGATGAGGTTTACTAACATCCATCGTCACTAACCAACTTACCCATCAAACGCTTGGAGTTCACATTCTTTAAGTACTGAGAGAGCATGTCCTTCATATTCAGTTACTGTGGAAAATAACTTTGTTTAATTATCAGAAGATTAGATAATTTAAAAGTTTTTTTTATTATTTTTGCCCTTCTAACATAAGGAACACACGGTAATTCAGTTCAGATATTATTTTTTTTTTTTAAATCATTAAATGCATTAAAAGTATGAGAAGGTGTGTTTTACAGTTATGCTAGCTAAAAGGCAAGACACATTAAAACTCAGCTGCCATCAAACACATGGCTATTCAGTGCATTTAAATTCAGAGAATTAGAGAAGATATTTGTTGCATCAAAATACAAGTTTTAGCATTGACACAGTTGGTAAACTTCAGAAAAATGTAAGCATATCCTCAGTTAAGACTGAATTATTTCAGTATCAATCAAATTTAATTGCCTTTGTGTTAGGATATGCAAATTGCTAAATCAAAAATATGAGGAGTTAAACACAGAAGTATGAAATCAAGCCAAATACCAGTGACAACAGAATATAACACACAGAGGAAGGTGGCACAAGAATACACCAGAGTTCATAGCCTCTGGAGGAAATGAATCTGTCACTCTACATTGATGTCTCTGTGCTTGCTGATACCCTATATAGTACTGTAAATGCCAGTGAAGACAGGATAAACTGGCATACTACAGATGGCACAAAGCATCATAACTACATTTAGCATTTCCTAGGCCAGCTTTGCCAGAAGAGACAGCCCAGCTGCAGCCACCCATCAAAGATTTTTGCTGACTGACATGACACTTGCAGATGGATTTTTTGTGTAAGAATGTGCATCATTATATGCAAAATTACATTAATCTTTCATGCTTGTCTGTCCCTGGTGCTAGCATAGTTCAAGGCTTTTCTCCAGTGTTTCTAAACACTGTTAAAATTATTAGTCTTGGTGTCTAAAACAATCATTCCGTATCTGTACCTGTTATAACAGTATTTCTACAGACTATTCAAATTCTGCTTACAAGAACTGAAACCACCTCTGTCTCTCTCTCTCTCTATATACACACACATACTCAAGAATGCATGTATATATAGTAAGTGTATATATTTAACTATTTTTTTTAAAGAAATCAAAATAAAAGTGATAAAATATTTACACTTCACACTAAAACAATTTTATATCAGCATATAACTTCAAAATCTCCCAACCAGTATTAGCAAAGTTCTAGTGCTTGGTGTTTTGGAAATTCTTTATTAAAAACTAGAGTTATTTTGATTGTATCAATGGCAGAGAATTATCATTTTGCTACAGAAATACCTATCACTATAATAGCTTTCAGGAATTATTTACAGAATTTACTTTCGTGCAGGACCTCTTCTGGAAGATCAAAGCACAATATTTAAGCTATCGTACTCAGTTTTGCTTTTACCGATGGGAACCGTCCTTTTATCATTATCTGTAGGTCGTGAAAAAAGTGACCAATAAAACTGTGCATCATGCAAAAATGCAGAAACATTCAAATATCTTACCACTGCTTAACTGTGAAAGAAACTCTTTCCATAAAAACATACTGTTGGTTACCAGGTTACATGCCTTTTTAAATGAACATGATGACATTTAGAAAGTTATGAGTACAGTCAAATTAAAATGGTATGGTAAATAAGATTTTATTTTGTAAAAGAAAACACACTCAGTGGTTTCCTAATATAATGTATGTAAGTTACGTTTACTATTACAAAATTAATTCACTCAAAGAAAAAGGACATGGAAATAAAGAGGACTCATGTCTACAGAGAAATCAATAAAGGCAGTAAAAATGATTAGTGTTAGCCAGATAGACTCCATCCTCTTTGCATCTAATAGTTTAAGTTTGGAAATTATATAGGATGACTACTGGAAGGTTTAACACTGGGGATAATTCCAAGAAATTTAAAATTTGATGAGAGAATGACAGAGGTACAGAGCATCTATTTTGAAACACTGTGATGAAAAGGTAACGAAAAACTGAAGTTTCCAGGAAAACTTCATGAGAACATATAGAAAATCAATCAAGTAGAAAAAAAATGAAAAAATCCAACACAGACATAAAAAGACCATGTCTAAAAAGTTTTCTGCAGGCTTGACAACCTCCAGAGGGACATGTAAAAGTCATTCTGATAGCTGGAAAAAAGCTAGATGTTTGACTATTTGGTCTTGTCCCAATTCAGGGGAAAAAAAAAAACCAAAGCCAAACACAAAACTAAAAAAAAAAAAACCACAAAATAAACTTTGGCAAGAGGAAGAAGGAGGTTCTTTCACCATTTGAGAAGGATTCAGATTACATATTTGGCACAAATATTAGCACAAAAATATTATTTAATGCTTTTTGCAACCATTTCTAATGCATAATTGAAAAAGTTTTCCTTTTTCAAGGACATTTTGTTCCCAACTTGTAAATTCCAGTATGCATTAAGTTTCAAGTAATAGCATTCTGAAAGAAGGGTACTGACAGCGTACCTCGTTTGAAGAGTCACACATACTCCAACACATTGTAACACCCTATCTCATATAGCCAACAAGAAACTAAGGGTTCAGCCCCTACATATAGAAAAAGCACCATATAATTAATTCAACACTTCAAAATGTGGGACACTTCCATATGACACATATCAATACTGGCACTCATGTCACAGACTAATGTCGATAGGATTAAAACTGCTAATGATAACAATAGATTATCTGGTGTTGACACTGGATGAAAAAATATATTTATGTTGTTTACTGTATAGTAAGTTTAAACCAATGTTATTTGTCCAATTCTTAATCACTCTCTTTTCCTTTGTGATTCTGCCCTAAAAATGGGGGTGTGGGGAAGGCTGTTGTTTTTGCCTAAATATCCAGCTTGTAATTGTGCATAAACGGAAAAAGAAGAGTCAAAACTAGGAAGAGAAGGAAGACAAACTAGGAGTCTGTTGGGTTTACCTTTATTTGTTTTTCTTCAGTATGTGTAAGATTTTGCATGATACTAACGTATTTCTAAAATACTAGCTCCAGTTATCACTATTTGCCAGTACTCATAGGTATCCCAAATGTGGGGCGAGCTTTTGTTGAACTGGGGCCAGTCTTGTTCAATATCTTTA